CATGGCATTGTGGTCAGAAAAGATGCTTGAGTTAATTTCTATCTTCTTAAAATTCTTGAGTCTTCTTTTGTGCCCAAGTACATGATCAACCCTAGAAAACGTTCCATGTGCACTTGAAAAGAATGTATATTCTATTTTTGGGAGGTGGAATGTTCTGAAAATGTCCACCAAATCTAATTTTTCTATTGTATCATTTAATTTCTCTGTTGCCTTATTTATTTTCTGTCTGTAAGATCGCTCCAGTGATGTTAATGCGGTGTTAAAGTCTCCGACAATCATTGTATGCCCATCAGTTTCCCCCTTTATCTCTGTTAGTAGTTGGTTTATGTACTTAGGTGCTCCTATATGGGTGCATATATATTAATGAGTGTATCTTTATCTTGTACTACTCCTTTAATCATTATAAAATGTCCTTCTTTATCTTTCTTTATGGCCTTTGTTTTAAAGTCTATTTTGTCTGAAATCAGTATTGCTACTCCTGCTTTCTTGGCTTTTCCATTTGCGTGGAATATTGTTTTCCATCCTCTCACTTTCAATCTATATGAGTCCTTCTCCCTTAAGTGGGTCTTTTGTATGCAGCATACTGAAGGTTCTTGCTTTATTATCCAGTCTGCCACTCTGCCTTTTGATTGGAGCATTTAGTCCATTACATTTACAGTAATTAATGATAGATGTGTGTTTACTGCTATTTTGAGCTTAGTTTTGCAGTTGATTTGGTATTTCCTCTTTGTTCCTTTTCTTTTTGTGGTTTGGTAATTTTTCTTTGTATTATCTTGGTTTTATTTTTTATTTTTTGTGACTCTATTGTAAGTTTTTGGCTTGTAGTTACCCTGTTTTGTATGTATATTAACTCATTACTGTAATTGTTTAAACAGATAGGAATATAAGCTCAAACCCATCCTACCGAGAAAAAATTTAAAAAAGAAAAAAATCCCTATATTTTCTTGCTTCCTTCTCCCACCCTCTTTTACAATTTCACTTTTATTCTGTTGTAATTCATGGTAGTTATCGTCTTCCCAATTATGGTTTTCTCCTTTCTGTAGCATCCTGCTTCCTTTTCTATTTAGAGTAGACCTTTCAGTATTTCTTTTAGCATATGTGTAGTGTTGCTAAATTCTTTAGTTTTAGCTTGTCTATGAAGTTCTTTATGTCTCCTATTTTAAAGGATAGTTAGGCCAATCCCCATTTTTTAACAGATAAGATTAGGCCAGCAAAGTGAAGCAAACTTGCCCACGTTACTCCCTATTCATCACCATCAAAATAGTTACTGTATATAGAGTATTTACTTTATACACATTAACTTTAATTCCTCAGACTACCCCTTTTCAGATAGCAAAACTGAAGTACAAAATTTAAGTAACTTGCATAGGTTTAAACCCCTCCACTACAGTTTTTCTTTTAGCTCAATTAGTAACTGGACAGAAATTTTAACCAGTATTGATTCAGTACCTTTTCTGAGCCAGGCACTGGCAGAAAGACTTGTAGTGATTAGATTTAAAAATAAAAGTGTTTTGTTTAGAAAAATTAATTATAGTTTATCATTTCACATGTATTTTAATTTTTCTTTTGACAAATGGAGAAATGAATTTCAAAATATCTTAAAAATAACATAAATATCTGTTATACATTTAGAAAAAATCCTTTTAAATTGCATATATATTATTTTTAAAATAGTAAGATATATGGTACTTAAATTTAAATTTCTGGCTTTTTTAAAAACAGTTTTGAACTCAGAGAATTGGAGAAGAAATTAAAAGCAGCTTACATGAATAAAGAAAGAGCAGCTCAAATTGCTGAAAAGGATGCCATTAAATATGAGCAAATGGTAATTACATTTTTGGTCATTGTTTTCTGTATTTGTAGCTTCATTTAGAAAACCAACTTTTTGGAAATTGTTGCATACTATAAAGAATTTACACTGTCAGATTTCTTAAAGGCTTTTATACTTTTCAGATCCTTAAGGTGCAGGAAATTATGGATATTTAGCCTTGGGTAATTTAATATTAGAGCCTTTCAGAGACACAAAGATTTAGGTTACTGCTTAGAACGAATAGCTATATTCTGTAACTCCCAGCATTCTTAATGGTTTCTAACTGATTATTCTTTGACAAACCAATACAGGTTGTTAGTATGATCAGTATATTTTAGAATGTTATTAAATTTTTTTTAAATGTGTTAAAAAATAAAACTATTGTATAACTTTAGGAAACTTTTTCTGCTTTATAAACAGCAATCTTCTCATATTTTCTTCTATTTTCATCCTCTTTTCTTCCTCCTGTCCTACTGCCTAGTTCAGGGTAATAGTCACTCTTGGGCAAAGGCGTTTCAGATTCTCAGCGGTAGTGTTACTCAGTATAATATAAAGTAGGATTTATTTACATTTACAAGCAGAATGCACATCATTACTCGAACTCTCATTGTCACTCAGAAAGGCTAGACAGAGATGAAAAGGTCTGATTGCAACATTACACAGTCCTTTCAGTTCCCTTCTCTCAATTCTCTGTTATTTTGCAGAGCATTTTGAGAGTAGTGTTCCCTCTTTCCTGTATCCCTTTCAAAGATGATATACGGCTATTAAAGAGAAAGGTAG